AAGGACCACAAAGTAACTGATGAGCTAAACTCCAATGAACCACTAAAAATGCTTTTATTGGTCTACTGCAAATCCACTAAAATAATGTTTGTTACATACACAACAAGTTATCCAGCCAACCTGGGTATTGCGCCAATTCCATTGACAGACTGGATAAACCCATTCCTCTTCATTGTTTACATCTTCTTCAATCAAGCATTTCTTCAATTTTCCTCTTTTTTTTTGTTATTTTTTTCTATTTATTTTTTTTAATTTACTGTCATTGTTCTCTTCAAGTAAAATATTTTTCTTGTTCTTTTCTTTTTTTCTTATTGTTTTTCTCGTTATTTTTTTTTTTAGTAAAATTTTTTTCTTATATGAAGAATTAGTTATGATCTGAGATTTTTTAGCTAATTTTTTTTTGGAGGATAGAGTTTTGAAATTTTGAGTATTTCTTCAAAAACATTTGATGCAGAAAGCAAAAACAATCATCATGAGCATAGTGTTTTAAGTTTTAAGCTTTTGGTATGAGAATAATGACCGTCAAATAAAAGTAAAACTTTGTTGATCAAGGAGCATCGTACTTGTTTACCAAAATGTTGTATATATTAAAAAATAAATCAGTATTAATCCAGCCATTTTCAGAACATCCTTGAATAGTTCCAACTGCGCATTATCTGTAAGTAAAACAAAATTTTTTTTTTGCGCCTAAATATCGTCATGGGTGGTTAAAAATGACCAAAAGAATCACAAACACATAAAATTATTATTGTGACTCTTTTTCCCCACTTGTTACTAATGAAACACATTGTTTTCCTGTAGATGAGATAACTTTTAATGGTTTACGGACAAACCAAACTCGTGTTGTGGCTCAAAATGATACTTATCTAACAAATTCTTAAATTACTAAAATAGATTTTAGTATTATCTTCATTCAAACCAAATACTCTGTTTATAGAATCTTCTTATATATTTATAGAATCTGCTTCTGGTTTTCTGAATCATAAATCAGGATGGCGTTTTAAAAATTCTTGTACAAAGTCTTCTGCTGATATTTCATTATCTTTGTTAAAATCATTTGGAATGAAATTTTTTTTGCAGAACTCATACACTACCTATCTAATATCCATCATTGAGAGGCCATAAAATGAATTCTCCTTATCTTTAATATACTTATTTAAATCTTGTTTTTGGTTATCAGAAAGCATTTTTCTGAATCTTCGAGGAAACTTAATATGTTAACTACTTTTAGACGAAGGCTTTTTAACACGGCTATCTAATGAATATTTTGCGAACACTGCCACCTGCCACCAAATTTGATAATTATTACCTATTTCATCTAATGCTTATCAAAGTAAAGGCGAGTTTCCACTCCTACATTTTTTTTACGGGAACGGGATAGGAAGGGAAAAAATAATTATGTGAGCATGCGTAATAAAAGTTTTTATTTGTTCGAAAGAAAACTGCGCATGCTCACGTGATTATTTTTCCGTTCCATTTCCCTTTCCAGTAGAAAAACGGATGAGTGGAAACTCACCTTAAAAGTGCGTTGCAAAAACAGTGCTACACATGGAATTGTTTTGGCAAAGCGTATGATATGGTGTATAACCTATTAGCATTATCTGTGTTATAAATATATATATTTTGTAAAGTAAAAACAGATTTTGTATATAAAATCAAGCAAAAATTTTTTTAAAGTGATTAATTTACATATATAAAATTCTTCTTCATCTTTTTTTTTTAATTTTATTGTTAAGTTGATTTTAAAGAAGTTATTCTGCCCATTTGTCAGCTTAGTTACCCCTTAGTTACCCTTTAGTCAACCCCCAGTTACCCCCTCTTAAATATTTTTCTTTTATATCACCAAAACAATACAGGTCATTTTTTTAAAGAAAAGTTTACTCCTCATATCTAACCAATGTGGTCAGAGCCGCCATCGAATCTTCAACCGATTTTGATTTAGAAGAGGAGTATGTATGCGTATATGAGTTTTTATTCTTCACGTAGTATTTTTCAGAATTTTTTTTTAATTGTAAACTTACTAAAGCCATGTGGGCTTATTAGTTATTGTAAAGGGGCTCTATCAATAGATTGTGGTGATACATGTCATCCGTATCTTCTTTGAGCCCCTGTCTGTTTTATATATATTCTTTGTGTAACGTAAAAATTTCATTGTAATTTTATTACTTTATTTTTATATGAACAGGGAAATATATATATATATATATATATATATATATATATATATATATATATATATATATATATATATATATATATATATATATAAATAAATACTTATCAAAACTTTCAATAATGTTAAAATTAACATATTGAAATCAATATTGCACATTCTAACATCTAGTGCAATATCTATCCGCTTTCTATATGCTATCTTTCTAACTCAACTTCTTCTGACTTTTACTCTAATTCCTTCGTTCTTCCTTAAATCATTTACTCTTGGTCTGTGAAGCGGCTTATGGTGCTCTCCAATGAGCTAAACTCGTCTTGCGGGTCTTGGTAATGTAGCCTCTGAATGGCAATTAGCTGGAGGAGGATAAACCACAATACCTGACATTTGTTATGTCAAATGAGTAGAAACAAGAGCTATAGAAAACCATTGCAACTAAAAATATCTTGAAAAAAAAACAATATTCTTGAAAATACTGAAATCATAACGAAAGAATTTTTAAAATGTTTTTTTTTTTTTGCGGTATCCATGGACATCCCGGTATAAAGGCAGTTACCCACCTGAAAGGCGAGTGAATGTCATGTCAGGCTTACTTCAGTTTACATAATTTTTTAACTATTGTGTTATGTATCTTTATTTATTTTAAAATAAGTTTATAAAAATTGAAAATCAAAAAAACACTTTTCCGCATTCAATAAAAAAAAATCAAAAAAACACAATTCCGCATTCAATAAAAAAAAAGAAAAAAAGAAAAAAAAAAAAAAAAAAACACGCTAATGAAAAAGTGTTTAGTATGTCATTTTATTCTCATTTCAGCGCTTCAAATTTATTCTTTCTTATTTTTAATTTAAGACTATAAATTATTGCATTTTTCTTCCAACTTAGAAATTTTCATTTTTACGTTTCTTACCTGATCAAAAACCATGGCTAACGAAACAATCATTTTTCTAAAAGGACATTATGTTCTTGCATAAAATTCTTTACTTTTCCCAATTTAAAAATTAAGAATTATAGGCAGCACTATCAAACCTAAAACTTGTAATATCTATAGTCAGCGACAGATTCAAGATATAGTGATGGGGTGTTCGTTGTAAATATACTGAGGTCAAGATTTGGGAGGAAGCTCCATCGTGGAAGTTTTTGTAAATGTTTATGATGATCATTTTTGTGGCACTTTTTGGAGATAAGAAACATATTTACATACTTTTGTGATCATTTGCGCTAAATGAACGTTATTTCAGTCAGCTGTTCAACTTAAGATTGTAAATTTTAGAAAGTAAACAAAAAATTGTTTGAAAAAAGCGTTTGGATGTTAAAATTTATATAAATATCTAAATATTAATATGAAATAAAGTCTAAATATTATTATGAAATAAATAGGGTTGGAGATTTCCGGAAATTTTGCTCAAAATTTCCGAAAATTTTGAAAAAGTTTTTTTTATTGCAACAAACTTATAGTTATTATATAGTTTTATAAAATTCATTTCTTTGTTTCAAAAATATGCGTTTTGTTTTATTATCGCAGTACTTGGGTATTCTTTAAATATTTCAACAAAAAATAAAATATATTAAAGATCCACACGCAAAAAGTGCATATCATTTAGACAATTTAACAAAGTTGTGTTCTATCCCCGCAAAAGAAGGTAATTTTCAAGTCATAGTCGATTTTTTTGACGAATTTAGTCGGCTAGTCAGGTATTTGACACCATTCAGTTGGTGTATTTTAGTTTTTAAGGACCTTTCCTTTTTTTTTTAATAAACCAGTCCGGTACTTTTTACGGACCCCCCATTCCATATTTTTATAATTTATTGAATTAATTAAGTCAAAAGTGCCCTAGCAAAAAAAACTTCAAGACTCAAGTCTTAATTTTTTCTTCTTGTGTTCTTTATTACAAATATTTTTCTTATAAATACTGTTTAGATTAAACAATCAAAAAAGTTTCAATATTTTGAGCATTCTTAATTAAAGCTAATTTTAACAAAAAAAACTGATCACCGTTTTTATTCCATTACGAAAATGAAAAGCAAATAAAAAAAGTTTTGAATTAAGGTTTTCTACGTACATAGTAAAAATATACAATTTTATATTAAGCAGCTTAAAAGTTTCGGACTTAGCTGAGAACTTATTTGTTTTCATGTTTTCGCTCAAACCATATCTTTAAACGAATTGTTTTTTTTTTTTAAAAAAGTCAAAACTACTAGTTCAAAAATTCGCCTCGCCTCACCAATATTAAGGTATATCGTTATCATTTGACATTGTTTAAGAATGTTGTAAAATAATTAATGCTAGGAAGGACAGATAGACATTACATATTTTTAAATATTTAAAATGCAGAACAAATGCACAACCGATTAAATTTCAATATAAAAACGGTAAGCGAAGACAACTATCATTGAGACTGGTAAATATTTGCAAGATAAATTAGTTCCGATGACGATAGTTAATAAAGACAGTTTAGACCGCACTTACGTTGATAAATATTAATTCGGCACTATTAATAAAAAGACCGCACTTACATTGATAAATATTAATTCGGCATTATCTGGAGGAAGACCGCACTTACGTTAATAAATATTAATTCGGCACAAATAAGAGGAAGACCAAAATAACATGCCAAAAAGTGTAAAAATATTTGAAATATTAAAACAAATATTCACTACGAAAATAAACCGAACAAGAGAGGATTAAAGATTAATAGATTGGCCAATGAAATAAAACAGCAGCATCGCGGTCATAAAAAAAAATAGTTAAGATGATGATAATAATAATAATAATAATAATAATAATAATAATAATAATAATAATAATAACAAAAAATAACAACAATAATAATAGCAATAATAATAGAATTGAATTAAGAGTAGAAAATTCCTTAAAACATATACATAATAAATACTATCTGGTTAAAATTATTCACATTATTCGCTGATGCCTCGCCCATTATAGCTATTTTATTTTTGTTACCTAAAACGATGTGTATTGCACGGATAATATGAGCGAGGATGAAAGTACATATGAGGCGGGTGCATTAAAGCTTGCCGTTGTTGCAGCCTTCTATTAGCTTCTTGTATAAAGTAAAGTTCAGGGCGGACTGATTCGGTTATAACAGAATGTTCAAGAGATTGGGCTTTTTTAAATAAACTATGAAGCTGCAATGAAGCAAGCTCTGAAAGTTCTCTTCTTACTTTGTTAAAATCCGTGTATAAACCACTTTCTAAAAACCTAAAATATTCAAAACAATATTTGCATAAACAAAAGGTTACCGAACAAAATATAAAAAAAACAAAAAAACAACAACAACAACTTGAAGATAAGTATAATACTTTAAAAAAAACAAAAGCGAAATGAATTAAACTTAATTAAAAATATACCTTTGAACTAGACAAGCAACAGGATCGCTTCCAAGAACAGGAAAAGTATAATCGGGCGTAAGCATTGGAGGTCGCAAACTTCTAATAACAACATCTCCAAGTATAGAAACTAACCAAAGATTTTCTTTCAGCCAATGACTCAATACTTCACGTCTCTCAAAATACATGCGAAGTTTTGCAAAGTCTTCTAAACGTCCATTTTCCAAATATTTTCTTTAAAAAAAAAAAAAAAGACTATTGCTAATGTGAAGATGAGGAAATCGTTATGCCTTGATTAAATAATTTAAATGAGTATATTTATATGCAATATTCATTACATAATATTTAGTTTTTAAACTTATTTTAAAAAAGAGAAATTATTTTTAATGTTGAGAGTTTTTTTATTTTGGATAAAAAAAACAACAAACGATTCCTCCCACATTTCAACAAGTAATGCTCAACTTTTTAGGGTCTCTTTGTTCCCAAATACATTCTTACAACTATAACACATATATACATACATATGGATCCACTATTGTTAAACGCCATCTACTTAAAAAGCAAGTCATTACTAAACTTTTTATTCATCCAAAAATAAATAAATCCATAATCATTATGCATACTTTGATAAAATGAAACTTCTAGAATTTTCTGGCTCATTCTTTTTTATCTCTTTAATCTATTCTAAATTCCTCATTGCTTAGTTTATATGGTTTTAAGTGTTCCAGTGTTATAGACTTATTAAAAAATTCAAATACATTTTATATAGTCTTAAATAAAATAATTTAAAAAAAAGTGAAAAAGTAGCCTGGGTTCCAAAATGACCAAATTTTTTTTTTCAAAGAAAATATAGTAAAAAAACTATTTTTGTTCTGAAATTTAATTTTTGAATAATAAGAAAAAATATATATATTGGGGAAATATAAAACATAAAATAATTAAATTTATTTTATTTTACATTGTTTGATTTAATACTAATGCATAAATAAACACATAAAAACATATATATACTTTATAATTTTAAAATACTAACCTATAACAATCATGTCTTCGAACAAGCATTGAAGATCGATGTTCTTTTCTATAAGCTGTACCATGTTGATTTTGCCAAAGCCAGACCTCATGAAGTTTTTCAATAAATGGACATGCTTTACGCATAAACGATTCTGCACAAAGTTCCCGTTCTTCTGCAACTGTAGCTAACTAAATGATTGCAATGATATGTATATATTTATTCATAATTACAAACATAATTAATTATAATGTGATGTAACATAAAAAACAATTACAGTTTTGTTCACATAATCTAATGCATCTCGATAATCCTGAGCAAGAATTTCACCTAGGCGTGGAGGCCACACTCCTACACTTTTTTCTTCTACCCATGACTTAAATTTAGCACAAAAGTCAGCATATGCTTTAACTGTTTGAAATCCACCTTTTAGACTGCCATCTATATACATTGCAGTAATCTAATAATAATGTAATAATAATCTAAGGTGTAACATTACATAAAGTATAATAATAAACAAAAAATAATTATATTAATAGTTATTAATAATAATAACAATAGTAAAAACAAAATAATAAATTAATACTGCAATTAAATATTTTTAATTCATTTTTTTTATTTAATGAAGAAAAAAAATATATAAAAAAATGAAAAAGCTAAAATTCAAATTTTTATCTAAATATTATTACTCCATAGATGTTAGTGCAACATTTTCTTACCTGATGTAACATATAAATATAAGTGACTTTTGGCATATGTTCGGTAAGGGCTTTTAATGCTTCTCTGTTTCCAACATCTTGATCTTCAAGATATTGGTACCATTTTTGTCTTCGAGATGCATGCAAAGATAATTTATAATGCTCTTCTAAAGCTTGACGATTTCGATAACATCGTTTAAGGACATAATTTTGCATAGGAATAATTCCACCATGTTTCTTTAGGAAAACAGTATACAGGCGACTCCATTCATAATGACATAGTGGAAAGATTTCAGGACGATCAACTAAATTTAAAACACATTTTAAATATAAAATTTCAAATAATACAAATTTTTATGTTTTAACAGATTTGTTTTTTTATTTTATTAAAAAAAGGGAAAGTATTCATACTATTGTATTAATTTATACTATTGTATTGCCTAATAATGAATTACACACGAAAAAAAGTAAAGAAAGTTAAATATTTATTATAAAAATAATATTTATAAATGATATAATAAAAAAAAGCTGTAGTTGGTTAAAATATATGCAGCTGAAGAGTAATGTTAACAAAAAAATAAAAAAAATAAAAAGGTTGAATAATGCTGTCAAAGCCTTCTGTATTGACTGAAAGCTTTTATGAAAAGTTCAACAAAAGTTAAAATAATAAATAATAAAAACAAATTTTATATATATATATATATATATATATATATATATATATATATATATATATATATATATATATCAAATTAGAAAGTATAATAAAAAGCAATTTTTCTAAAGCTTATAAAGCTGAATTTAGACATAGATATTCACCTGTGTCATCAAAGTACATTTCTTCTAATTCTTCCTCTGTTATTCCCCATATTGATTTTACTTGACTTGCTGTAAGATGTCCAACAACATGACAAGGAGGTAGTGGATTAGTCAAATACCATACAATTACTGATGTTTTTAATTGACTAACAGGTTTGAAAAAATTTTGATCATCTCGAAGAGTAGCAGCTTTGAAAAACATTTCATATAGATACAAATAAGAAAATTCTGTCCATTTTGTTTCAAGGTTGAAGTCATTCTGATTAAAAAAGTATTTTGAATACAAATATCAAAAACTTAAAAATTCAAAATATGCATTAATAAAGAAAAAATCAAAAACCACATAATTTTTTTTTTTAATTTAATTAAAAAAAAAAAAAAAATTTAATTAAAAAAAAAAAATTAAAAAAAAAAATACTCCTTTCTCAAAGAAAAACAAAACAAAAAAAAACCCATAAAATATCAGTAAGGAAATGGCTTCAGAAAAGAACTTTTTTTTTTTTTGAACAAATATTAAGATTTTTTTATTTATTTTTGAATAAATTAAATGTCAAGAGCTTTGGATGGAGTCATGACATAGAGAGCATTTAAAACCATTATATACAATAGTGTGGAAGCTGTTTTAACAGGATATTTGTAAAAGAATTACAAAAACATATATGCAAATAGGAGATTTAAAAGCACATTTAAAACATTAGAAAAGTCTAAACCAGTCTTTAAGCTTTTTAGGGATGAAGACAATACTTTTATCTCATCATATGAAATATTTGCATTTAAAATGAATTAAAGAAGAGATTCTATAATCACACTGCATTGAAGTTAGTCAATATGCTTAGCTGAAAACTTTTAACTGAGATAATTATCATTTGTAGAAATGTTAACGAGCTTCCCTGCAATTATAAAGATAAAAAACAAAAAAATTTTGGCTTTTTTTAAAAGGATAAAAATATTGACATTAGAAGGCTTGATTAATAATACAGACAAAACCTTAAGATAAGGACCTCATTACAAAAAATGATTAGAAAGTTTATAATACAAAATTCTTTCAATTACTTTTTTACAATCCTTTTAACTGCATTTTAATATCTTATTTAAAAATGAGTCACAATAGAACTTAAAAAAAAAAAAAAATTTAACTATTTTTTCTTTTTTTTACTTAGAATTTTTAGACTTTAGATTGCACTTTAAAAAAGGAGGCCTATATTAATAAAAAGCATTTGAAGCTCTAAAAACCTTATTGAAACCATTTTGAATAAGAGTTTTTCTAAGGTCTCAATAAAATCTTTTCTTTTCAAAAATTTATAGCATTTATCTAAAAGTGAAAAGATCTGAAAAAAGCATTTGTTTTATTTATCTGTTATATTCTTTTTCTTTTACAGTTTTACACAAAAAGCTTCGTTTGAGTTTTGTGTGGACATGTTATTAGAAAGAAGTGTTTTTTTGAAAACCTTTCATGATTATATAAATAAAGAGAATTAAATTTTTTTTCAAAACACAACAGGCTAAAAATCAGTCAAAAGTTTACTTCAGCTTAATGTAAATAAACCACAAAAGGAAAGAAAAACCATTAGTAAATCTATATTCATAAGACAAATATCATATGGAAAAACCTTGTGTTTGCATATTTAAATAAAAAATAAGAGAAGACTATTTTTAATAATAATAAAAATAAAAATAATGTAAAAAAAGATTGAACACATAAAAAAATCCTTTATATATTTATAAAATTTTTATTAAACACAGCAATAAAAAAATTTTACTGAGTAATATTCTAAGTTTATATTTATAACTTTTTTTAATTTATGAATATAATTAATATATATTCATAAATTAAAAAAAAATTACAATTAAAGTTTATAATTATATATTTTTTTTAATTTATGAATCTATATAATATATATTCATTATAATTATAAACTTATAACATTACCCAGTGTATTTTTTTATTGCTGTGTTTAAACGAAATTTTATAATTTTTTTTTTAGGAAAAAAGTATGAAAACTATACTTATTGTTAATATATTTTTTAAAAAACATGCTTCATTTGTTTTTTGTTTTGTTTAAGTATGCATTATTTATAATTGATATGTATGAACATATGCACTTAAATATACACATAAACTTATCTTACCTTACAACGATGCCTCCAAAGTGAATCAGTATGACAAACTCGATGAAATAGCCAACAGGTTTTACTAGTATTTACAAGTCCAGGAGCAGAAACATGCTCTAATATAGCTATTAAAACTTCTTCGCTCAAATCGCAAAGTTCTATTTTTCGTTCGCGAGTTTCGTGAAAATATTTTTTACGTTTTACTCGATTTTTTTTTCTCGCATAAAAACTACTACTACTTTTTCTTTTTTTTCTTTCCCGAATTTTATTTTTTTCTTCTTTCATTTTCTTTTCTTTTTCATTCATATTTGCAGTCATTGAACGAGTAACGCAACTCAATCTACAAGGCTCCATTTCTTCATCTATTGAAGTCATAAGGACTTAAACACAATATGATTTAATTTCGGTACAACATAAGAAAACTGATTCAAATTATTTCTTGTATAACAAACGAAGTCTTAACTCATCTCGTGCTTTTATGATTAGTTAATAGAATTTCGCTATCTTTTTTAAAGTGCTAGTGGTCATAATCCATCAAAACAATACTTATCGTTGTTTACAAATTCCGCGCTATTATTTTCAAGACCCTTTGACTTTTTATCTGGCAGTTGATTATGGAGAATATAATAAATATATTATAAACTATTCTACTTTATTCTCAAAGTCGAACTTGTTAAGCACATCTCCCTTAAGAACTGCCGCTATACTATTTATGTTTAAATTATCGGTTTTCACACGTGCGAGAGCTTTACCAGTGCGCATGTTCAAATATTGTCACAAAATATCTATTTAAAATATAAAGTGCATAGTAACACCAACATAACGCCATTGCGTTTTCCGGTTTGAAAATATTGCAATTAAATAAAAATTATTCTTAAGTAGTTAAATATCTTTTAAGATCAAACAACGATATCTTTTTTTTAATAACAAATTTTCACAAAACACAGAAAAAAAATTTCTACCTAAAAATCATTCAGCGGTACATAGCATTTATTTTTCGCGTCGTTAACTTTCACCAAGAAGCGCATGCAGAAACATATTGCGGAAGTATACTGTTATCAGCATTAAAATTTTTTAGTCTTAAAGTAAAAGTTTATTTGGTTTTTAGAGTTTTATGTAATAAAAAACTATGCATAATTCATTGCTTTAACAGAAAATAAAGTTTTTAATGTAAAAATGTCAACTAGCGAAAACCTGTAAAGTATATATATATATATATATATATATATATATATATATATATATATATATATATATATATATATATATATATATATATATATATATATATATATATATATATATATATATATATATATATATATATATATATATATATATATATATATATATATATATATATATATATATATATATATATATATATATATATATATATATATATATATATATATATATATATATATATATATATGTATATCTGTTATGTTTTTCTACGGTTTTGCGTAAGTAATACTATAGAAATGAGCGGAATGTACAGCAGCGAAAGCAGTGGATCTTTGAAAAGAAAAACATAAAACTGTTTCTCAGTGTTGGTAAAGCTATCTTTTTTAAAACGAAATATTTTAGCTGCAGTGCAAAAAGCTGTGTTAAGAGCAGTTTTATCCATAAGCCTACAAAAAAAGAATGTTTTGAAAACCTTGTTTGGTCACTCAAACAAATTTTAAATATGCAGGAGTTTTTTTAATTAACATGCAAAGCAAACACCAAAGTTATTGATCGATAGATGTAATAACAACTACTTGCTACAGCAAAACTCCTATGATTTGTTTATTAGTTTAATTTTACGTATATAGCTTTAAATTGAGTATAACCGCGTACCATGTATCGAGAACCCGTGTAACAGTAAATCTACTATTATTGAAAGAAAGGTTATCAATTAAAGTAAGGTTATTATCAACAAAAAATATTTTGGTAAACTATACTGAACTTTTGACGTAATTTGGCTAGGGACAAATAAAACCGATCATTTGATTAAAAAAAAAACATTTCAATAAAAGCTATTATTATTAAGTTAAGGGTTCAAAGTATTTACAGAACAGCCAAAAAAATAATAGTTTTAATGATGATATCAGCATGAAAATGATGTTTTTTTACTAAACGGCTAAATCGGTACTTAGTGGTTTAAACTTCAAAGCCTCCAGTCTTAAATATATATTTTGTTGGAAGACTTTGATTGGTTCTTTGTAATCGTAAAAAAAAGTTTTAGCTTTATATAAATGCAAATACGGAATAAAACGAGCTAAAACAATAATTTAAATAATAATCTATCAACAAAACAAAAAAAAAAAAGGTTTTGAATAAGTATGCTTAATCATTATTAGTAACGCAGATACATTGATAATAAAAGTTATTGATATTTTAAAAAAGATAAAAAACTCAAAAATAAATAAATTTAAACAAAATTCTAATATACCTCAAATAAAAACTTAATTGAACATAAATTTCAATACTATCTTGGTATCTTATATTGTCTATTTCCCATCATGAAGCGGTAAAAGTTTTTATCTATCGTTTATTTAGAGTCAATATAAATCACCGATTGTGTGTTACGAGTTGAAAATTCAAAAACAATATATTTTACGAGATGTAACATTTTCTTTGGATTTCTTCCTTGCTGTAAATTATCTAGATAATACAGAAAAATTAATTTAAAATATATTTGATATTGTGTTTGATTGATGTGTTTTGGAAGTTATCTGTGTTCCGGAGTAACTATTTTGCACCAAAAAAGTGTATAATAATTTTATATTCACTACTTATATAGAAAACAATGAATTTATTTTTTCTTCAAATGCATTTAATTTTTGAGTAGTTTCTCAAAATAAGAAAGTAAAAATAAAATTTATAGATTAATATAGCTTGAAGCATTTTGAATAGCTTTGACGCTCTTAGTTCTTTTGTCGACACTAATCATTTTGTCAAATCATCTAATCTTATTTTAGGTACCACCTCTTTGCGCATTACACTTGCTACGCATCAAGTAGATACTTTGCAAGTACAATAAGTTAGTATATGCATGAACATCTATAAAATGAACTAAGTATCAAGCATTTGTTAATCGAGATTAGATTTTTCACAGTAATATTACAAAAAATTATTTACCAAGCTAAATTAGAGCCGACGACATGTGTTTCGAAGTAGGGGGCACAATCGTCAATATTTAAAAAAGTCCTCTATATTTAGAAATTTCTTTTCTAAAAAACTAAACAAAAAAACAAAAAAAATATTCGTTTAGAAAAAAAGTGTGTGTAAGGAGGCTAGTGTCCCCAAGCCCCTCCCCACCCCTTTAACCTTTACTCAATAAAAATCACTGATTCTTGTTTGATTATAGCTACCATTTATATTTTTGCTCTGATAATAAATTTTTTCTATTCTTATGTATTTATCAAATGGCTGAAACTAAGTTTTTATCAATACTACTTTTTTAATTAAAATTTTATATTTCCGCACAAAATTTTATTACGTTGCATTAGGTACTTATTTTTTCACTTTTAAATTATATCTTCAATTAAAAACAAGTAATCAGCTTTTGAATTAGAGTTGATTTTGAATTAGAATTTCGTGGGTCTGGAGCAAAAAATAATTTTTTTTTTTACTATTTTTAACTAAATTTATATATGCATATATAAATTTTAAAATTAATACAATGATGTCTTATCGCTAAAGAGTTATAACTATGTGAAAATTGAATCCCCCTTTAAAGAGGATTATGAAATTTAAAGTTCATTTTCGTTGATTAAAAGACAATTTAAAACTTCACTATTTTTTTTTGCAGAAAAAAAAATCAAATTAAAAAAATATTATATTATTTAAAAGAGTCATATTATTTTGAGTTTAGAAAACTAATAATTTTCTTGATTCAATTTTTTATATGTATATTTGTAATGCGTTACATTACAATGAGTTGAACTTTTAGCATTATAATGCTAAAAAAGAAACTCTAACAAACTGAAACTTGAACAAAGTCATGGTATTATGTGTTCAAACAGTTCTTCAACAATTTTATTATGAAATCTGATTCAAACAGCTCTTCAAAAACTTTATCAGTAAAAAATGAACACTGTAATAAATCCAATGAAATAAATATAATTGCAAAGTATATTGATTTGTATGTATCTGTATATTTATTTGTATGTATTTATTTGTATGTATTTAATGAAATAAATTAAAAGGAAATTTAATGCTATTTATGCTAATTTATATTTTGCAGCAAGAGTGTTTTTTATTGACGACTCGTTTAAGCTTAACCAGAATAACTGGCGAGCTTGCTAATCATGATGGAGTGTTAAGTAGAACCTAATTTCTTTATGCTAATTAAGTTTGAATAAAAGTTTTAAATATCATTATACATTAACGTTGGGTGTAATAACACCTATTAATACAATTTTCTATCTAGTTGTCATGGCGGCAGAGAAAGTGATCTTTTTATTATTAAATATTGTCAAATTTTGAAATGCTTGCAAACGGAATATCAAATTATTGATCTCTATTGATCTCTTGGTTTTAAGCATTTGGAAAAAAGGTAGGAGAGGGTACGTGATCCTTCCCCCCCCCTCCTTGGTGTTGTTAGCCCTCGCTTTTACTCTATTATCCTTGTATATGTTATTAACTTAGAGATGTAACATTTTTAAACTCTACTGGTTCGACAATACCCGTGTAAGAACTTGCGCAACTTTACGCTTTTTGTGATTTCTTAAAAAATAACAATCTTTTGGTGTACGGAATGGAAACGTAATGTTTTTTTCTTTCTCTTTGTTGTTCTTACTACATCTTACCACTGATTTAAGCGTAGTTGCTTCCTTGTAGCATTTTATAAATCTTTTTGTTAATTGCCATTAAACGTATGCGGGTAAAGAAAACTATAATCACCGTTGATAAACAAATTTGTGTTGCAAAACCAACTTTTATTATTGATAGTGGGACGTCATTTTCTGGTGGAGTTGTTTATATTTCAACATTTTCTGGTGGAAATGTTTTTATTTCAACATTTTCTGGTGGAGTTGTTTATATTTCAACATTTAAAACAGCGTTTTTAGAAACTTTACCTTAATGTTGTCTAAAAAAATTTTTTTTTTTACTTTTCCGTAAGTTCACAAATTTCTATTGATCTTCGGGTAAAAACCGTATTTACGTTGGAGAATGATCATATTTTTTACCAATATTGGTTTACTTAACCATAAACTTCTTTGGATAGAGCGCTTCAGTTACAAATATTGTCTATACAAATAAAGTTGGTTGCGCCTTAAGTTTTTGCAAACTCTTCTTTATAAAGTACCGGAGCAATTTAATTGCAACAATTTTTGTCCAGTGGTACTCATGTCAAATACTGTGCAAACATTGCTGTCCGATTATGGAATTTGAGTTAGTCAAACTCCGGATTGTGTTTGTCTATTTTCTGATGATCATTTCTGTAATGCATTTTATAATTAATGATATGAAAAGTTCTATTTCGATAGAGTCACTAATTTATAAGATCAGCCTAAAAAATTTGAGAGAAAAACAATTATTTTTTAATTTTTTCGTAAGGCCACGTAATTGAATTATAAATGCTTAACTTGCCTAGTTTTTCTGTGTTATTTTAATTTTATGGGTTATTTTTTCAAATAAAAAATGTTAATAAAATACATTCCTTATCATAGACGGATTTCGCTTTGATTTTTTTTTTCTTATTTTCTTATTAGTTAAAATAGATGGTCGAGATTAAAATAGTAATTCTAAATATTTTAGCAACAACATATCTAAAACTAACTTACAGATCATCATTATCAAAAGAAAAAAAAATTATTTTGTGTACCTCTTAATGAGAAAATAAAAAGTTTTATATCCTTCTTATCTATATATTCTTGCTATCTATATATTTTTCTATACGATTTAAAACTAGATTAAAATTCATTGATAGATTTTAAATTATAATAAAAGATATTTTGGCGTTCAGAAGATGTGACCATTTTAAGTAATGTTAGTCATAGTTTCAACAAATTAGTAAAGCTTTTTTAAAAAAATCAAAAATGTTTTTGTAAAAAAATAATCAAGTTTACTAGTAATGTAGATAAATAGCATCTGTATGTATTTTGTATAGCTTTTAAGTTCTAATTTTTTAGTTTTTAAGGTTGCTAAGTGACAAGATATGCAGTTCAATTATATTGATTCTATTAGTAAATGCCATTACTTTGTAAAATACATTCCATAATATCTAGCTCCATCTTCCCATATGAAGGGCTCAGCGGAAAAGTGGTGTAACCCACATTTTTGAAATTTTTCAGATAATCACTGCAAACCATACATTGAGTATGTAGTTTGTTGTGGAAAAAGTGCTGAACCCAAAAATCCATCCAAACAGTGCTGCTATCTATAAGCATATTTACTTTAACAGAAAAATAAAATTTGAATTGTGGAAAAGTTGCGTATCCCACAATCAACATGGCAAAGATGAACAGCTCAAATTTGGAAGACTTTATAATGAAAAGTGGTTGTTATGGTTTAGGTGCAGATAAGAACCCTTCTTTAGCAAATGATATTAGCAAAGGTATGTATATAATTAATACAGCATCAAGATTTAATTTTAATTGAGTTTATCATACAATAACATAGTTTCTAACCCAATGTTGTTTAGGCAGGTTTTCCTCTTCTAGTTTTTTTAAAACTGACATGCGCTTTTTTATTGCAGATTCAAGTATTGGGGATCAATATGTTGAAAAAAATGCAAGATCTATATCTATATTAACAGGAGTTAATGGTAAGTACAATTTGTCTAAAAATAAATAGGCTTATAAAGGGAATTTTTTAGTTCTATTGATATGGCCTAGGACCAATTGTTTACATTGGTGTTAGGCCTAGCATTAGAATAGCTAGGACCATTTAGTTTGTTTTGTTAGGAGTTCTTTTTTTATTAGAAAATAATTTTTACCTAACATTTTCATTGCAGATGCAAATGTTAATATAGTTGGAGAAGTAGGAGGGAACGACAGCTTCTCCCAGGAAGTACGAGAAGAAACCCAGTCTCTTTCGAGAAACAAAAGCAGACAGACAGACATATTCGTAAGCAAATTGCCCATCCAGAACTACACAAAAGAAATATTCTGAAACAGAAAAGGTTAACAGGGAAGGTTATGTTACAACAAAGGGCAAAGTAGTTGAACCAAAGATTTTTATTAACAAAGATTGTGGTTGCAATCTGGAGTGCAGCAGTAAAATAACAGTTGCATGCCGTAATCAAATTTTTTCTAACTTTTACACCACGAATACACCACTTTTACACCATGAACTGGGATTTAAAAAACGCCTTTATAATGGGTTCTGTTGATGTAAAAGAAAAACACAGTACATATACTGCATCAAATAACTTACGTAGGGCAAATAGTTGTTCCTATAAACTAACTGATGAATGTGGAAATGTTAAAAAGATTTGCAAAACATACTTCACAGGCACATTGCAGATCCCTGATGGAACAATAAAAAATATTTTAGCAAAGAAAAAACAGATGGTACACCTATCGAAGAACGCAGGAGTAAATCGGCTCTACAAAATAAAAGTATTGATGAAGACAACAAACATCTTCAAAGTTTTATTTGCTTATTTCCAACATACCAATCACACTATAACCGAAGGGACAACCAGTACAGAAATTTTTTGCCTCCAACTTTACGAATGTCAACGATGTACGAGAAATATATTCGCAGTTGCAAAGAAAATAATCGCAACCAACTTTTTTATTTCGACACATATTTAATACAAAATTCAATTTTTATTTTCATCTACCACAATCAGGTACATGTCAAAAATGTGATCTATTTAACAATAAAATTAGGTGTCTTTCAGAGGGTGAAGAAAAGAACACTGCTAGGAGGGACCTTATTATTCATCAAGAGATGGCTGAAAAGGCAAAAGTAAAAATGAAAGAAGATACACTAGATGCACAGACAAATTCATACAAGAGGGTATTAGTTTTTGACTTACAAAAAACTCTACCAACACCAGTGCTTAGTACAGGAATAGCCTACTATAAAAGGCAAATGTGGACTTACAATCTTGGAATCCATGATGAAAACTTAAAAACAGGATTTATGTATGTATGAAGTGAAGAACAAGCATCCAGAGGTACTCAAGAGGTTTCGAAACATACCAGAAACTGTGACCCATTTAATATTATATAGTAACAGTTGTGGTGGCCAAAATCGTAATATAAAAATGTCTCTTATGTAACAATATATTTTGCACAAATCTCCATCTCTGAAAACCATTAAACGGAAATTTTTTGTACCAGCGCATAGTTTTTCCTCCGACCGAGACTTTGCTGTGATTGAAAAAGCCAAAAAAATGAAGGATCAAATATTTGTTCCATACCATTGGATAGACCTTATTAAAAATGCAAAGAAGAGAGCCCCAAAATTTATTGTATGAAAAACGGACACCCATAAATTTTTCAGTACAAAATCATTGGAGAGTGGGATAACCAATAGAAAAAAATTAATAAATAGCGAAAAAGTTTTATGGCTAAAGGCATGCTGGATAAAAATTGAAAAAGGATCACCAAGCTTATTTCAAATGAAGCAAACGCATTTAGAAAGTGACAGATTTATGTTGCTGGACGTAACAATGCGAAATCGTGGACGGCCATCTGGCACTATCAATGTTGAACTTGAGTCTTTGTATCCCAATGGTAGAAAACTCACAAAAGAAAAGCTAAGTGAACTTTTTGGGCTAGAACAATTCATATCGCCTGTCCATCATCCCTATTATTTTGCTCTTAAAGGGGATGAGGAGACAACTGATTTGGGTCTAACGGATGATTCTGGTGACGAAGACATAAATTAGTGAATGCTACATATATAAATTTTTTTTGTAGATATACCAGTGTATTTTTTTACCTGTCTTTATAATAAATACCATCCTTCTGATAATGATACTTTTTTCTGTTATTTTTAAAAAGATCCTTGTAGTCTTTTACAGTTTACTAAAAATGAAATAATTGTGGATTAGACCACTTTTCCGCTGAGCCCTTCATATACAAGAATGCAGATAACACTATTTATCTGCACAAACGTAGTTAATATACTATACATCCCAAGCAAATCATGGAAAAATTTCTCCTTTTAAAATTTTTTAATGTTTGTTATGGTTATTTAAGAATTAAAAAACCATACCTAATTAAATAGTTTATAATAGATATTAAATTTAAAGTGTATAAAATTAATTTTGGAACGTTTAAACATGTACATTAATGAACCTGATGTAACAAAAAACTACTTTACAGTGGAAAAGGTATATTTTATTTTTTTAAAAAAAGTTGGAAAAAACAAAAATACGGAAACAGCAATTAGCGAACTCGTCAATCCTAAAAAAATCAATATCTCTATTTGATCATTTTTGTGGAACTAGAGGATTAGAACTTGATAAAACTATTATACCTGTGGGAATAGATGTGGTAGAAGTGGTTAAGGATCTTTGAATGTCGTGATAAATGTTTTTAATAAAACAAAAAAACTTGAAGAAACCAACGAAACAAAGAGCATTTGTGTTAACAAAATTTTTTTTCTGTTTTAATTTGTTTTTTTATCTTAATTTAACTACGGGGCTGTCCATTAATTACGTCAACAAAATAGAACAAGTTGACATGGGGGAGGGTTGTGGTCAAGGCAAGTTGACGCCACCAACATGTTACTTTTTTAAACAAATTTAATTACCTTAAAAAAGGAAAATTAGGCATAGTTTACAGTCCTGTGTTACACACTCGCTCAACCTTCATTATTTTAATAAAGCTATTAATATTCCTACTTTTTAAAAACCGTGTTGTGCTTTTAAAATACCCGAAACATACGGGTATTTTAAACTAAATAAGCACACGAGAGATGTTTACTCGTAACACTACTATTTTTTTAAAGTTTTGTTGGTTAATGTTGTGCAAACAAAAAAGGTTTTATTTACATTTTTTATTCCTAATGTAATAAAAAACTACCTTACCAAAGTAGCTTATTGGCCTAGAGTCGGCGGCGAATTTTGGACCTCTAGGTTCTGAGCCAGAACTCTAACCACTGCGCGACAACTGCGTTAAGTCTCGAAGTCTTTTGATGTCAATAAGCGGCTCTTTAGCTCCATGCACAAACATTAATATAATATTAAAATAAAGATGTTGGAAGCTCTTTTAAAACTGAAAATTTTTGTAAATTACAACTTTTGGCTCCTCCGTCTCAAAAGGTTGCCGACTTATGTTTTATACATTTTGTAATAGCATTTTTTATTATACTAGACTCTATTAGAAATAATTGGCTTCCACTTTAAAATTGAATTAGGTCTAAAGTTAAAGTAAAAAGTATTAACATGTTCACGGATTGTGATTCTATGCACTGTACATAAATTATGGCAAATATTTAAAACTATCACCGCAACTAATTCATTTAAGGGGGAGGGGGAGAGTTATTTAATGTTGATGTAATTTGTGGGGTCACTGGAAGTTTGATATGTTGTTGACAAGGGGGAGGCGGAATGTAAAAATTTGCCAAAAAACTGTTAGCTTAATTAATGGAATATTAAGTTTAAGATAAAGTTTCAAAAAAAAAAAAAAAAATTAAAATCTTAATGATTCGGTAAAATAAAAATTACAATAAAGATAAACAAAATATAAAAAGGACAAGGAGAGTCGAAGAAAATTACTTAAGACGAGGAGACTTGAAGAAGATTTCTTAAGAGAACTAATAATCATATGGTGAAACGGTGCTTTATTTCACAAACCATCTAACTCTGATAATTTACCACTTCAGCTTCCCAAGCTTATGATTAACAACATTAATATAGAAAGAAACTATTCAATGAAAATCCTGGGTGCACTTTTTCAAGAAAATCTTAGTTAGAAAAATTATATTTTGCAATTGGCATCATGCATAAAATAAAACAACTTCTAAATAAAACTTGAAAAATGTATATTATTTGTTCATTCACAGTTACATCAACTATTTGAATATCGTTTGGGTACGCACATACTCTTCAGTACCAAAGAAAATATACGTAAAACAAAATCAAGTTTCGAATAGTATGCAATGTTAACAGATATACCCACGCAAGACCATTATTCAGGGAAACGGGAGCTCCTAATATTTATAAAATGAATCTCCTTTAAATTTAGTATTTATGTTTTAATCGCAAAACAAATTGCTACCAAAATCAATTTTCATTGATCACAAAGTAGCATTTAATTAAAAAAAATTATCACAAATGCTACCAAATCAATTTTCCACCATTGATCACAAATACCCAACAAAGTACTCTTTTCACAACTTTAAAAATCCGAAGACTTCACTTAAAAAAACTGACTTTCTGAGGTTTGCAGCTTTGGAATTTGATTTTATATCGAGGTTTGCGACATTGGAATTTGATCCTTAAAGAGAAAATAAAAAAACATGAAGCCATTAAAATTCTTTAGAGCAGCAGTCAAACAACACCAATTTGACTTAAGTGACGTAAACATATTCTCCTATTTTCAAAGATCAAAATAATAACAACTGACTAAAAAAAATTTATCCCTTTTGGATGACTACAAATGAAGATTGTATTATAATACAAACAGTTTTGTTCTTTACTCATTTATCAGATTATATATATATATATAGACGTTTATGGCTTTGTTTTTAATTTTTAGTTTTTGTTTTATTTTTATTTATGATTTTTTAATGTCTGGTGAATCTCACGTGATGTAATTGAATGTAAAGTTGCGAATGAAAGGGGCTTGATGATAAGACTGAAGTCTTCTACTTGCTCCTGTCATTGTTTTAATTCTTATCTTGTTTATAAATGTACACATATAAATATACTTGTATTTATAAATGCATTAAAGTTAAATGTACGTAAAATATATAATGACGAAATAAATTGCAAAAAATATGTATAATTTACGGCTACAGCTATAATAGATGTTTATCATTAACTATATTAAAACAATGTATTAGTTTAAAGATTGGGATTAGATCTTATTGCAGGCGCCAAAACACAAATGATGGTAGGTTTATACTTTCTACTCTTTCGCAGTTTTAAAGATGTCTCAAGCTGGAAGCCCATTTTGTTGCTTTACATTGAACAGATTAAACCTAGGCTATACCAAATTTTAAATGAGGAGTCCAAACAGACACTGCATATTTAAGATATCTTTTATAACATATCAAGAAATTGTCAGATGTAAAAATGACTCCAAAATCACGCTATTTAGTATAGCTTCTTAGACACTGATTAATATTTGGGAAATTTTCCAATTTTTGGAAAGTAAATGTAATGGGGTTTAGTTTGACCGTAATGAATAACACAGCATTTTAATGTTTTACTTAAGTAACCAAGTATTTGATTACTTGCATACCAAGCGTAGATGATCCTACAAATCATTTTATGTAGTATTTTTTTTGAATGACCATTCCTTCTGAACGCAAAAAATGTTTTTATTAAAACATAAATCTTTGAATTTTGTATAAATAATAAGTTTTGAATTTTGTTTAAGGTTGTATGAAAAAGAAAAAGTGGGGGACAGTGGAAATAACAAAATCTTTCCATTTTCTTTTTAAAATTGATTATCTTGACATATTGATATATATATATATATATATATATATATATATATATATATATATATGTATATATATATATATATATATATATATATATATATATATATATATATATATATATATATATATATATATATATATATATATATATATATATATACATATATATATATATATATATATATATATAGAGTGCTTGATGTTCTTAAAGAACAGAGCAATAATAAATTAGTAAAAGCACTTATCTAATTTTTAGTTGCTTTCAACATAATGTATCTCCATCAGTAGGTCAGTAGATTTATCAGGAAGATGAACCTTCCTGATAAACCTATTGATGGAGAAACATTATGTTAAAGACAACTAAAAATTAAATAAGTGTTTTTACTAATTTATATGTATATATATATATATATATATATATATATATATATATATATATATATATATATATATATATATATATATATATATATAAATGGCTATTAGGTCTGAGGTCCCCCCAAAATCAGTCATAACGGCCCTAAAATCTTAAAAATTTTTCCATTAGGTATTACTGAAAAAAAATAAAGCTCCTGAGATTTGGAAAAGTGCCCCTAAATTTACAAATAGGCTCCTTAAATTCGTTAGGTCCCCTCCAATTGGGGTGTGTGGGGGAGCTTAGCCACGGATCTGTGTATATATTTATATATATATATATATATATATATATATATATATATATATATATATATATATATATATATATATATATATATATATATATATATTTATATATATATATATATATATATTGTTTGAATTATTTATTGAAAACTATAAATTTAAAATAAGTAACAATTAGTTTTACTTCAAGAATAATATTCATTTTAAAAGTAATAATCAATCATATTTATGTAAAAAGTAATATTCAAGTAAAGAACGAAAAATAAAAAAAAAGTATCTCATTTACAAAAACCAAAATATATATGTATATCTTACATTACATTATATATACGAGGTGTGTTCAAAAATTAAGGTGACTTTGTATTTTTAAGAAAAAATATTTATTTATTTATCAATATTTATTTTGTCCCCTTCAAAGTAATCCCCTTCAGATGCAATACACTTATGCCAACGGTTTTTCCAATCCTCAAAGCACTTCTCAAATCTCCGTTCTTTCATAGGTCTCTTTAGTTTTGGGAACAAGAAAGTCTTATGGGGCCAAATCCGGTGAATATGGTGGCTGAGGCATGATTGTGGTGTTGTTTTTGGTCAAAAAATTTCTCACAAGCAAAGATGAGAAAACGGCGCATAACTTCAAGATAATACTGTTTATTGACTGTACAACCATATGGTAAGAATTCCTGATGCACCAC